ATATATATATATTATAATATCTGTATTTTCAAATTCTATTTAAATAAAATTATATATATTATATTAAAAAAAAATTATAATATATTATTAAAATAAATATAATACATTATGATAATATATATAATATATAATATTATGTATTTTTAAAAAGTTTGCTATTTACATATAAAATAATATTGTTAAGCTACATCAAGTTTTTTCATAATTATTTTAAAAGAAAAATGGAAAAATTGGTTTAAAGCTCACTAGGCTATATGTATTTATATATTAGTTATTTTATTTTATTATTTTTAAGCAATATGTGATTTATTTTTGTCTTTTATTTGGGTTTTTTTTTTTTAAGTTGGCTAAATAAATATTAAATTAAATTAAGCCAAAAGGTAATTCATTCATTTTCCATAAACATTTTTTATAAGTTATTAACAGATTTTATATATCCCAATTATCTATCTTCATGGTATTAATATATAATAATAATATGGAATTACTATATAAGATTAAAAAATGCTAGTTTATCATTTTTTTCAATTCCAAATTTCTCTTTCTAATTCTTAGAATTTCCTAGTCCTAGTTTAATGATCTAATGAGTGCGCCGAATATCTCAGTGCTTAGTATACAAATGAAGGAAAATTATAAAATAGTTAAATGAATGCAAAATTAATTGAATTCAAAATGTTTCAGGAGAGACCAATTTACTAAACAAGTCTGTAGCTTATGGAACTTTATAGATAAAACAGATTTAATACAATTAAAACAAAGGAATCATGCATTATAATGCTTAGTGAGCGTAGTTAATCGCACTTGTGTTACATTTCCACTAAGATGTATGCATAATTAATATAATATTAATTGAAAGGCTAAAGCCGTCTTAAGAATTGCCAAATTGAATTAGCTTTAATCCCTCTATTATGCCTATTGTGCCTTTTGTCTAATGGAATTCCGTGCTGCATCTCAAGCTCCACAAATGGCTGTTGCTGCCGTTGGCCTTCATGGAGCTCGTCTATTTCCTGGGCATCACAATCAGTCACATTGTCCTGATGATTGTGCTGAAGAAGCAGATCAACCTGGGCCTCCTCATCGTGCTCACCCTGGTGGGCAGTTTCTACTGTCGTGAGTGAAGGGGAATCGATATATTAAACTGTAGAATAAAATTGATTAATAATTGCCTTTGATTCCAAAGTGTTTGCTGGCTATAATTGCGTGACGTGCATCGCCCTGTTCCAAATCATAAATCTGGTGCGAAGCAACAAATATCGTCAGCTCTACGGCGAGGATCCGTTTAATCCGCTGGTCACGAAGCGGCCACGCGGCGAGGTGCAGCAGCTGCGCGTGCTGGGCACACCCGAGGACACCGACATCGATGAGCAGAAGCGATTGGCCAAGCTGGGCCTCTGGCCGCGTCGCCATCCGCAGGTCATTTCCGTCATTCCGATGCAGACGCCAGCCGTCAATCTGAAATGGTGGCAGCAGCAGGCCCTCGACAGGGATGACAAGCTCCACGACTCGGCTGTCTATCGTAACTGGCAGCGCGATGAGCTGTTGCGGGGCGTGGGCGGCGAGGTGGAGCGCAAAAATGAATTGAATCGACGCTACGCAGAGGTGCAACATTTCCAATGGCGCTAGGAGAGCCTTAGGTGATGGGGTCCATTGCAACTTATCTAAAATTGGATTGGTGATGCGACTATGTTATTCTTGTTTAAAAAGGCAGCCTTAAAACTACGTGGATAATATTCAAATTTAATTTATAAATAAATCCAAAAAAAAAATAATAAAGCTATTCATTTTTATGAAGAAGGAAGAAGCTTTTAAGTTTCCAATATTTATATGATTTTCTTACAAATAGCATGTAGAAATATACTTACACCTTAAACATTTTTAAATTATTATAACTTCTATATATATCCTCAAAGTCTTCCTTCTATGTCTTTACTGTTCAGCTGAACGATCATTGCACCGCACTTTACTTCACTCCACTGCACGTTTGACCACCAACAGGCCTGGGCGACTGAAGAAATGCTGAAACTGCTGCCCATATATATAGGGCGAGCTTCACTCAAACACTGAGAGGCGGTCAAACGATGAGCTCGAGAGCCGGGCAGAGATCGTTGCAGTCGAGCTTTATGTGTCCAATGGGAACACTGCTGTGTTAGGAAGACAAACAGAGAGATATGCTGTGAGATTAACAGGGATACATACACATGCAGAGAATCAACATCCACAACGCTCACACTCCTACAAGACAAGATCCATTTATGCTCTCCCTCTGTAAGCGGTAATTGAGTAACATTCTGTTTATTAACAGCGTCTGCAGTGAACCAATAGCAGTCCACACCTACATATGGATCAAACCAAATGACCAATGGCGTGTCAGCAGCTAAATGAGTGAGTGAGTCCACTATTTGCTCGCTCTCTCATATTGCAGCTGCGCTTGCAATTATACGAAATTCACTCGTCGGACACACATACACTCACACATATATATTTTCCCCTAGTGCGGGTCTTTTAATAGGTATATCTTAATCTGCTGATACTTTTAATTATTGCATAAGTAATTTAGCTAATATAAGCTTCAATTTAATTTAATTATACGCACACTTGTATATTTTTATCGCATTTGCTCTATCTCTTAATCCAGATAAGTTTTGCACACACACGCACATTGAATTAAAATCCACCCGACGACAGATTTCTTGGCACTCCCTTGGACCCACAACTCGACTGTCGTTAGCTTGACTTCCACTTACCTATCACACACACACTCACACATACACATACACATGTTCCACAGTTAGCATCCACTTGTTGAACACACTGCCAATTCGCCACGTGCCAACGCGGATGTTGAGTGGGTCTGTTGGCAAGGCTCGACTCGAAGCATTTTTTTTTTTATTTTTTTGGCAAGCTAATCCGCTGCTAAGCACACGGCAGATAATCAAGAACACGTAACGATAGTCTTACGTGTGTCCTGTCTATGTTACGGAAATGTTTCTTTTAAATTGGCAGCCGTTATGGTGTTATGTGATTATAAAAATTATATTGAGGTATGAAATAGTTGTTTAGACGAGTGAATGCATAAATTTAAGAAATATATGCAGTTATTAATATAATAAAAGAGTTAGTGTAAATGTACTTTACATATATTAGCCTATGAATAACTAAGCGTTAATATACAATGCAATATAGCCTCAACATTTCGCTTAAACAGTATGTTAATAGATGCATACATTACATACATACATGTTCGTCAACATTGTGCATATGTATATTGAGTGGTTTAATCATTACCACTCAATTGCGCTCATTGCTACGAAGGCACTATGTTAATTTTAACATTTCTGTTAAAGTTAGATTATGCCACTGTTAAAAGGCACTCAATCGTTATTTATGCCAGGGATCTCTTTTGCATGCATTGAGTTAACATAATCTTGCAATGCTAATTATTCCGATTGGTAATAATAATAAATGAGTTTACAGTCTTACACTCTTTTCGCTTAGAATAGAAAGCTTCATTTTAAGCACAGCTGACCATGATTCAGGGGTAATTCAGCTCAATTTGATGAATCTCCATAAAACTCAAATTGTAATTTCACATAGTAAATGTAATATAGCTCAGTAGTTCTCTGGTTCACTTGGCAACCAGTTAGTTTTATTCATTTGGCTTAAACTTGTGAATTTCATCAAACTCGCAAACATTGCGGCCGTATTCAAATTTATTTATTATGCATAATTGAGTTGCCAACTTTGTGCTTTGGGTCCATACAAAACAATTATTTGCTGGCCCACTTTTGAGTCTCCGATGACGCAGCAGTTCGACTGATAGACTTCTGTTTTACTGTGGGCGGTGGGCGGGGCTCAGAAAAGTTTTAATTAAATTAGTGCACAAGTTGGCAGCACTGCAGCTGAGTAACTGTAACTGTCAACATAGCGCCGAATTCTCTGCGGGCGTCGCCTATGTGACCAGAGTGCGTCTGTGTGTGTGTGTGTGTGTGTGTGTAGACAGACATTGAAATTGACTGTATCGTCTAGCTCACGCTCTCGCTCTGTCGCTCTCTCATCCATTCTCCCGGATTCCTTCTCTCTTCTGCCAGAATGCTGCCATCAGCAAGTGCCCGGGCGCTATTGCTAGACACTTTGATTTTTCGTTTGGCATCCACAATAGTCCAGAAACTTTTCGCATCTCCCTTTTATCTGAGCGCTGCGCATTTGACGGCGAAGAAGGCAGGAGGCAAAAAGCATTTGTAAATCGACCTCCCCACTCAGCGATAGTGCTCTCACTCTCACACCCTTTACCGTTTACTCTCTCCCTCTCTCGTTCTCCTTTATTCCACCGGATATGCAAAGTGTGCAGCGTGTTGTCGACTCGACGCTTGACAATCCCAGACAGTTGCATAATCTGTCCTGCCGTTTATGCAAAGTGGCCCAAAAAGAATAGAAACGGGAGACAGAGAGAGAGAGAGAGAGAGTGTGCTTTGAGCGCGAGAGCATGAATGGGATAATGCTAAGAGGTGTCTGAATTGTTAAGCTACAGCAAATGCAGCGCAAAGCGAAATCGAAGTTTTATTGAATAAGTTGATAAAGCATGCCGCAGCTCTTTTTTTCGTTCCATTATCTGCTCAGCCACAATTTTATTGTAGTTTTATAAGACTCTTAAACTTGCCAATAAAGAAACAACAAAAATAAACTGCAAATATTTGAACTTAAAACATTTTATTCAACTCTTGAAAGAAAGAGAAAAATACTTATATATGTATGTATGTATGTATACATATGTGTATAGTGTGTAGAGAGAGCTGTTAAATCAAAGAGTAAATTTGGCGTGAGCGTCACAAATAATTCACTCATTTCGCTGCTGCGACGCCTCGACGCTGACGTTTTGATCCCGTTATATGTGTGGAGTGCAGCAGCCTGCAGAGAGCGAGAGCATTGGAAAACGTATGCTGTTGGATCTCGTCTGTATATGAGAGTGTGGGCTTTGTGGATGTTGTGAGCGCTTGCATTGCATTGCGCTGCCTCTAAGTTGTGTTTGTATTAGTGTAAGTGCTGGCTGAGCGCAGACAGCAACTAGATGTAACTTCCATCATGGAACGATTCAGTCTTTGTGTGTTTGTCGTGCAGATCGGATCTGCTATGGCTTTGCCTTGCGCGTCGGTGAAAATGTTCGGCTTCGTTAAAATTAATATAATAAATAATCTTTGATTTGATTTGATCGTAGCTACGATAAATATTTGACTTTTTTAAAGTGCTTTAAAGTGTTGCAATTTCCTTCTGTTAAGTGTGAAAAAGTGTGTTGTGAAGAAAGGGCTGAAGCTCATTGGAATGGGATCCACATTCGCCGCAGCAGACATATTCCCTGCAGCAGTGAGAGAGAGAGAGAGATAGAAGAATAGCGGTAAGTTATTTTAATTTGTCTTTTGTTTTCTGTAAGCAGCTTATCAGTAATATTCTTTGTGAGCAAATTACCTGTTAGGTCAGTGTGGATACTGTTTGGTTTTTTTGGCAAAATTGTTTTGATACAAAATAGGTCTGAATGCCTTTGTGGAGGGTTTAAAGATTATATGGTGTTTGAAGAAACCATTGGAAAAAATCGTTTGTTTTCTTATTGTTTATTATTATTATTTAAAATATATATTTTTACGATATAATAAGACACAAATAAATTGATCGAAGATATGCACAACTCGTATGCTCCGATTTGCTTGCCAAGTGAAAGAAACATGTTTATAAATATTTTTATATTTCACACTTTACATTTAATTTATTGAAGTAGTCAAAGAAAAACTAATGCTATTGCTGCGCACACTGCAGTAAAAGTAGTCGAGTCGAAAGATCAAAGTAGTCGAGTTCAGTGCAGCTCAGATGGTGGGCAGATGGTGTTCGGTGCGATGCAGCATGGCCGCATTCTTGTTCAGCGGCTGCAGCTTCACAAAGTCCTGATGCGTATGATGGTGGTGATGATGCTGGTTGCTCGGCAGTAGCGGCAACGAGGTGTTTGAAGTCTGCGGGAAATGGGAAGAGAAGTACGATTAGATAGTGTTTTAGATTTCAATTAAGCCTTACCCAAACTTAAAAAAAAAAAAAAAAAAAAATAAATAAATAAAAAAATAAATATATAAATCAAAATAATTAAAAATAAATAAATAAAAATAAATAAATAAAAATAAAAAAAATAAAATAAAAATAAATAAAATATAAAATATAATTTTAAATTTTATCAATTAATTAATGAAATAAAAAATTATTTGCTTTACTTATTGTTTATTTATTTTATTTGTATTTATTTATAATTAATGGTTTTTAAAGCTAATTGGTCCTAATTTAGTATAAAATCCAAAAAATAAGTTTGTATACTTTATACTTTATTCATTATTTGAATTAAAAAAAAGTTGATTTATAAAAAATAAATAAATAAATAAATAATAATCCTAATAATCAATTTGAATAATCAATTCAATATGTTCGGGGTATAAATTATAAATATAAATAAAAATAAAAAATAAAATAAAAGTTATTTTGTTCTCAAACTAATTTTTAGTACTTATAGTTCTATAAAATATACAATTTGATTTCATTTAATTAAGAGATAAAATTCGAAAACGAATATTTATGAGTCATACCTTGGAAATTTGCTTAAATTAATAAAATTTAATTCGCACCTTTGATTTATCACGCGCCGCTGCGATGGCCGCTGCCTGAGCCGCGCCCGTCTGCATCTGCTGGGCGGCGGTGGCCAGCATGAATTGCTGGGAGGCGAGCTGCTGCTGCCGGAGTGTGGCCGCCTCGAGGCTGTTGATGTGATCCAGTTCGCGCTGCTTGGCCGTGTAGTCGTCGAAGTAGGAGTGCTTAATCAGTTTCTCGCAGGACCAGCGCTTGGCTGGGTCCTTGTCCAGGCACTTCTTGAGCACATCGATGGTGAGCGGATTTTGCAGCGCCTTCGCTGGCATTTTATCCTCGAGCGGCTCCAGCGTGGGCGGCACGGGCAGCGTTATGCCCTTAAAGTATTCATTCTGTCCAAATATCTGTATGTGGCGCGGCAGCAAATCCCCCAAGGTTTTGCGTATCAAATACAGCTGATCCACATCGCTGCGCCCCGGCCACAGTGCCTCGCCGCGCACCAGCTCCGCGAACAGGCAGCCAATCGCCCACACATCCACGGGCGTCCCATACTGCGTGTCGCCCACGAGCAGCTCGGGTGCTCGATACCAGCGCGTCGCCACATAATCCGTATAATTCTCGCCCGGACTGAGCATGCGGGCAAAGCCAAAGTCGCACAGCTTCACCTGACCCTGGGCCGTCAGCAGTATGTTCTCGGGCTTGATGTCGCGATGCAGACAGCCCTGTTTATGGCAATACGCCACGCCCAACAGTGTCTGATAGCAGATCTGTTTGGTCAGCGGCTCCGGACAGCCCTGCGGATGCCGTTCCAGCTCGTGCAGCACGGTCAGCTCACAGAACTCAAAGACCAAGTGCAGGCGACGCTTGCGGCGAAACACTTCCAATAGGGA